GCGTAATATCAACTAACTCAATCACGTGAGCGGTGTTTTCCAATCGATTGCGTAACAGAACGACAATAAATAGAGCGGAACACTGTAGATGATAACCAACGACATCTACAGGCGCTCACAATCACCAGAACACTGATCCATTAGTTATTGCAAGCGATCAAAATCTAATTAAGATTGACATTTCTGATATTCGCAAGGGTGATATTCTTGGCCAAGGAGCTTTTGGTGTGTTGAGTTTTTAACTGTTTTTGTCTTTAATTCTCCTCATTCTTTAATATATTTGCATATATATATATACATAGGTCAAGTGTATAAAGCGACATGGGTATCAAAAAAGCGTCATGTAGCTTGCAAGGTCATTATAGTAACACCACAGCGAAGCCATTTAGAGAACAGTTTCCGAAAAGAGTTAGCTGCTTATGCAGAATTATCCGGTGCTTATATTCTCAAAACCCTGGGCTACGGTGAACATATGATCGGCAATGGAATTAAAGAATGCTATTTGATAACAGAATTTATGCATCGCGGCAGTCTTGCCAATGTGATCTATGATCGAAGTGAAAAGATTTCACTTCGACGTAAACTTTCCATGGCATGTCATATCGTCAGTGGTATGCGAAAATTACATGCTCATTGTTTGATTCATCGAGATATTCGCCCTGATAATATTTTGGTTTCAAACAATTATACAGCTAAAATCGGTGATATGGGTATTGCACATATATTCAATCCAGAGGAGAAGCACACATTGATAGGTTGTCTGCCTTTTATGCCACCTGAATTTCATCGGTAATACTATAAAAAAAAATTTAGTAATCAATTCACTAATGTACTGTTGCACTTTTTATCTAGTGGAGATGGTCAGTATGATCAATCTCTCGATATATTCACTTATGGATTGACACTCAACGAATTATTTACCGAAAAAGCACATCAATTTAATAAAGCAATCAAACGTATCAAACTGACAGAGCAGAGTCCAATCTTTGCTGATCTAATTACTCAATGCATTAATGATGAACCGATTCGACGACCAACAGCAGTCCAACTCCAAGATATACTCTATAGCTTCCGACGAGCGTCTGACAAACATATCCAAGAAAAACATTCAAACTATGCAAGTCAAACATTAACAGCTAAAAATAACATTCTCGTGAAGTTCTACAACGAATATAAAAAACAGAAACGTCCCATAGAGCCAAAACCAGTCTCTATACCACCAAGACCGCATATGGATTCTGATTTAATACGTCAACATTTCGATGACATGATCAAACAGTTCAATCACATTCGTCGACCTGATTTTCGTCAAGAAAAAGATCAGAAATGTTCTCCACATTTCATCAACTGGATGAAATATTTTGACGATGAAAGCATCGATAACATGAGTCCTAAATTTGAAAAGGATGACATAAAAATTGATCGACGACCACCACCAGCTTTATCACCATCACCAAACTTTCTTCGAGTTCAAGATGAAGGTCATCAACAGTTTCTCAACATTGTAAAACATTAACGGCCACGCACTCCGACTCCTTTGTCTCCGATTTTCGGTGATTTAGAGCATCGTCAAAATTTTTCTCCTTTTGCAGATCCATTTCGACCAGTTGACATGAACCGCGATATTGAGCAACGTTTACAACGATTTCATTTTGATGATGATTTCGATCGACATGCTGCACAAGCTCATCGTATGATGCAACAGTTCAAATAGACTTTCACATTATCTCACGCATATGATCAAGGACGATTGTTAATTCAACAAATATAAACACTTAACGGTGATTGTCATTTTGATATTGCACTACAGCCTATTTTTTGATACCTTCACTGCATAAAATTATAATTACATATATTTTTGTGCCCGTAATACATTCTACCACAAACTTTTTTGCGCAAAAAAAAATGATTGTTCTTGAGTACCTTATCGCCTAAATGAGCATAACTGAAATACAGATTGCCGAATGCCATTCGAGCATCTATTCAACTATGATGTGCGCATCACGAATTACGACCTAATCTTTTCTTAGTTCCTATTTTGACATAGGAAGCTTTCTTTTTGTTCAGTTAAGTTAGTTATTAACTTAGCACACCGCTTGAGTTACTAAGCACAATAAATATCTCAGAATATCATCGATATGTTCCATCATTGAAACGAAGATCGCCGAATTTTGATGATGTGACTTTCGGCAAAGAGCATACCGATTTCTTTTTTTTTTTTGCTACAAAATCTTTCTTCCAGAGTCAATATTTGAAAGAGAATATCGAAAAAAAAACATCTGATTAATAAAAATTCTTTCAAGAATCTGAGTTTTTCGCTCACATGTTAAGTTAATGACTCACTCAATTTCCCTTCGTCACCTATCATCACATGTAACACGGGAGAAAACGAGTAAGTGAAATATTTTCTTTCGTCCTGTTTTTATTTTGTCACAGATAAAAAGAAACTATGCAGACAGTAACATTCACAGTTGCTTACATTAGTAAGAAGTAAACTTGGAAACTTTCAATATAGAATATTCGATCTCTAATATCAAATAATACGAATCCATCAATGAAAATATTCCCAGTAGCAATGTTTCATTGTATTTTTGATAATCTTGTTGCTCAAACTATTTTATTTTCAATTCTGCCGGTATGTTGTTTACTTCGAGCAATGATCAATACTTATAACCGACATATCTTGAATTTTAAGTCAACATCAAAGCCAATTTTTTACCTATTCTGTCGTTTAATTAATTCTTAAAAATGTTGTATCGTTAAGACTTCATAACTATACCATACATCAAATCAAATAGGTTTATTTATTTCATTGATTCGTCTTCGACAGTTTACTCGACTTCATTCAATAACTTTTCTTGGTATTGAAGAATTTCAATTGAATATGATTTTAAAACATTTCATTTTCATTACATATTCAATCTAATCTTCGAAAAGTCGAATTGAATATTTAATTGTAAAATCAGAGATTATTTTTTATATATGTTAACTATGCTTTCCTGTGTTCGTCAACTTCATACAGTAATTCTGAAACAAAATCTATCGAAGTTAATAAAGAATATGATGTAGACATGTTCGTTTTTCCTTGTAACTTCGTTGACTATAGAAAAACTAGATGTTACAACCAATGAATTTAAGCAATTTCGCGTGTTAATGCCATCTCTCAATTATGTAAAATTAATTGGTGAAAAATATGTATTAGATAGTAAACGATGCGAACAATTTATTCAAATAAATCTTCTTCATTTGAACGATTTTGAATTTTTCATTGATATTTCTAAATTAATTAGTCAAACTCGAGAAGATCTTGAATTAATAATTAAATCATTTCAAAGGTCATTTTGGATTGAATATAAAAAATGGTTTGTAGCCTGCCAATGAGATTCTAATCAACTATACAGAATTCAAATTTATTTAATATCAATTTGTAAATCGATTCTTCAATATGAATTAGATTCAAATTATTTTTTTTTTTACTTGACTATGTTGTTGAATAACGGTCCATTAACAGTAAAGATTACGATTGATATTATCAACAAATGAAAATATGAAACAAGAAGTTTGTAATGAAATAAATTGTTGCTCAAATATGTTTATATTTATTTATTTGTAGAAATTAACAAGAATCCATTCTATGTTTTCTGATGTAACTAAACATAATATAGAGATTTATACACGATCTCCTCTGAATTCATTAGAATTTCTTATATAAGTAATCGATATTTAAAAATTGGTTGAAGTTAATCATTATTTCAACAAAGATAATCAAAATATTTTGTTTAACACAATTTCTATTCTTGAACAATCATATTCTCTTTCATCTTTGATCTTTCATAGTCGCTATTGTAAATATGAATTTTTTCCATCAGAGATGAAACCGGTCCGGTGAAGGAATGCACTAATTCCTAAAACTAATTGAAATTGGAATGGGAACTGGTCGAAACTTGTTATGATAGAATTACTAATTTTGAAATCCAAGACTTTCTTTATTTGAAAGGGGAAAATAAGAAGTTCTTTTTAAGACCACATTCACCGACACTAGAAAAGGTAGCACTTTGACTACAACACATAATTAGACCTTTTCTCTATACTGAAAACCAAATACGGTGTTTTTTTTTTACTTCAATTCTAATCTTTCTTCTCTTATTATTTAACTCAGATCATCTAGATCTTTCATCGTTCTGTTGTAATGATTTTGTTTGGTTTGGTTGGAAAACAACTGAATTATGTATGCATCACTTCAAAGCAGTTCATTAGTTGTTCTTCAAAAACTTTAATAGCTGTGAAAACGAATACGCTACATAGACGCATGGGCTTAGCATGAGTATTAGAAAAACGCTTATGCTTTTGTGTTGGAATTAAGTAAATATTTTAATGGTTTTGCATTAGTGTTAAAAATGTAATTTAATGCTTTGGTATTAATATTGAGTTATAATTAGCATTATTTAATTCATTGTTTGTGAACATTAATATCGAAATGATGATATTTTAAATACGAAAGTCTTAAATTATTTTCTTATTTCTAATACAAAAGCATTAAAAATAGTGTTAGGTAATGTAATGCTAACGCTACGCTATCACCCCTAATATAATATCATTTTATAGCTCATTTGTCGTTAAACTTGGTTGTTCGCCATCTTCTTGTAACTGTTCATCAGAACAGATGATTATGAAATCATAATAAAAGATTTAAATTATCTGAAGCGCATAAAAATGAAAAAAATTCAAAAAATATCGATAAAAAACAGTACATATTATTTTCGATATTGAAAAAAAAAGCCTACATTTTGTATCGTAACCAAGTACTACCTTTTCGACTCTTGATGAACTTGGTTTTTAAAATTGAAAACTGCCTAGCTCCTACCCCTTTAAAATGGAAAAATATTCTGGATTGAGCTTGATCAGTAATGGAATTGTATTCACTTAAACAATAATTATGACTTTTGGAACGCTCTGAACATTTGTTAGCTTAATATAAATTTTGATTCGATTCGGTTAGGTTCCAAAAAGACATGAGCCGATCTCATCTCTGGTATCTATTTCTGATAGTATATGTTCAATAATTTCACATCAAATCAAACTTTTACAAATACCGATCAATCAATTAGATTACGTCGAAATCATGATGGAATGATATCAAAATCTTTCAGTTGTAGAAATTGAAACTATTGATTGAATATTTCGAAGACATACTGGACGATATATTATATGAGATTAGAGAGAAAATGAATCACATTAGACTTAATCATAAACGAATTAAGTTAAATGAAAATCAATTCGATTCTTAATATATTTTATTTCTTCATGTTCGAATGAATCAATAAACAACAAATAATTTTCAAATTTAGCAAACAGCAACTCTTCGTTTTCTAATCAAAGCTTGTTAAGGCATTTGTTTCACGTTATTTTTCTTGTGTATAAAACGATACATTTTATTTATTTTTGCTATTAAGAAGAGCATGAGACATATTTTTTCAAGTCGTGCTGAACGAGTGATTTGCATCTTTTTTGTAATATCTTGTATATAAATAATTAAAATACAAAGTTAAATTCGTTTGGATATTCTGTGTATTTTATTATAAAGTGAATAATTAGCTGGGTTGTATGCATGAGAATGATCAGCATAACAAAAGAGAATGTAGGTGTGAGTCTTTTCTACAACCGCAACTACCACACATAAGGAAAGTTAGCAGCAGATTCGAGTTTTTCTTGCTGACACTCGCTCCTGAATTTGTGATGGATGCAGAATTCGATTCTCTACTGAATGATGATAGTTTCGATGGAAGTCCTTGGATAAAAAAAATAGGGATCGCAGCCGAAAAAACAAGCTGTTTAATCCGTTTCTACAAGTATATCGTACGACGTATGTAAAGGGTTTCAAACACTTAATTGATTCTTAATGGTGCTTATGGAATTGTTTGGAGTTCGATCAGCTATGCTTTCAGTCAACATTTTTATAAAGAGAAAAATATAATAAGGTTGATGAGACTAGAATGATACTAATGATTGTTCTTGATGAGACGTTTCATAGACTGATTGTTAACGAATCGGTACCGAGAAGAAGATGTTAGCATGCAATTATCGATTGAAGTAGTATTGGCTTTCCTTCTTTTTTTTTCTTCAAAGTATATTACACTCGAGGATTGACTTATTGTTTTTGTTAATTAGAATTCTGTCAGAATACTAAGAGCTAACGCCATCTCATCATGTATAATCGTCATTACAAAGGAACTGCTTAACATGTATGCAATGGCAATTATGTATATGTAGATTATCTCAATCGTTCTAACTTTGCTATATATTTTCCATGATGTTTTCTGTTTGTTGGTCTATTACTCTTAACACATTTTCATCACATATCAATCATTTATTACAATTGTTGTAAGCAATCGGATTATCAAATAGCATGTATTATTTCAGTGTGAAAAATCATTGTTTTGCCTTGAAAACTGACTTTTCCAGAAAATGACTTATACTATCAGCACAGGAAAGCAAATTGTTTTATGATTGTATAGATGTGATACTTTTTTTTCCTGTTCTGTCGATATTCTGACTATAAAGCATTGCTGCCCATGATGAATACTAGATTATTGCATATAAAGTAGAAAATGATCACTGAAGGCGTATAGAACGTTACGTTTACTTATTCTGTGATAATTGCGACATAGCATATAGAAATAAATTGACAGATGTTACACATTAGCCATTGTCGTT